TTTCTATAAGATTATTTTTATTTACAACTAGTACATCGGTAGAAGTACAATCAAATAATACTTCTTGAATTTTTAATGCATCGTCCAGACTTTCAATAACTCTAGAATGTGCACATGTTTCATTGAAAAAGGTACGCCATGCGTTAAAAGGTGTCCTCTCTACTCTTGAATATAATGCAAGTTCAATATCTTGGATGTTACATACTTTCAACAATGTAGGAAAACACAATTTGAACCATTCAATTCTATTAGATTCAATTATATTCACTTTCGACAGAATGCATAATGTGCAACCAAGAAGATTATCGGTTAATTGTTGTTTCGATGATTCTCTTTCTAATAATTCACTTACAAGTGACACATAAAAATCTTCCAAATTATGAACAACAGTGGGCGATATATCAAAATATAATGATAATAATTCATTAATGATCCAACATACAACATTTGGATTACTGTCAGCATTTTGTTTCAAAAATGCAAAACATTCATTGTGTAGCATTTCAAGTACTTCCGCAGTTGTCAGCTTTGAATTCATTTCGTATACCATCAACAATTTCTACAAAGTACATACAGTAAAATGTATTAGTAATGTATTAATAATATGATGAAAATTATATTGATTGCAATATACATTGTTACAATACCTCTATGTGCGTCGTCAAATGTTGACATAAATGCAAAGCCTGTAGCATTTCCATATAATTGTGATAATTCCTTACATTTATAATGTTTGAGGCGACATTGCCAATAAACTTTTGCAACAATATTTGAATAATCCATTGTTGACTTTTACTTTTAGCATAACTGAAAGAAATGTAATAAATGATGCTGTATCTTTTATTAAATATTAATTTAGCAGTTCATTAATTTAGCTTGCTATTTATCATACTTACATTAAGTTTTCGATCAACGATTCAGTATCACTTTGATGGGAAAGAAATTGATCGCTATTAATTTCTTGGTAAAGGATAAGAGAAGTGTACCACAATTTTGATAAGACACATTTATTTATTTGTAACACCTCCGCTGGTTCTGACATGTTACGAAAAATTAATTGTCATGGCACAAAGGAGTAAATAATGTACACATTCTTTCAACCATACGTCAACATCGTAATAGATAACAATATTCAATGTCCACCATGAATTTTTATTCAGCATTCGCTGTCTTAATAATTTATTTGCGCGTTCCTTTATATTTTATTTATCACTAATTTCTCAAAACGATAATTAATTAGTAATAAGTCTTGAAGAATTAGATTTTTTTCAAACAATGCAATTTTGTATACATTCATAGGTTAATCAATGCAAAAGTGTGTTCTCTATTCGCATAAATGTCATGCAGCCACACTTCGCGCCACTTTTGCCTCGCGAAATTATGTATAGTAAAAATATTAATATTTTTGATAACACCGTCTTTTAATTCTTCAGAATAATACAAGACGAAAATCAAGAATAGAAAAATCGCGATTTCAGCTGCATTTTTAAATTATAAACGATTACTCGAATAATATTATGCGGTTTACGTGATTTTTCTACCTTCCTTAGCTTTCGCAAGTATCCTCAACATTTTAATGAGCATGCAATCCGCAGTGAATCCTGTCTTAGTGTCGAATCGTCAGCCAATCAGAACAAAGTATTTTCTAGTTCTATTCTCGCTAACGGAGCGCGCTGTGGCCGAGAATTTTGCAAAAATTTAGATTGCAAACTTGAATTCTGCAATGCAAAACTTCTAAATCCGTTATGGTACAATAATGGGACCTAATCCTGCACACTTCTCTTACTCCCTAAGTTGGCGCGCATCCTCCACCATTTTACTACGTTTCCAATCCGCAGTGGATGCTGTCTCAACAGCGAATCGTCAGTCAATGAGAGCAAAGAAAATTTCTATATCGACCCTCATTAACGAATAAAGCAGCGACCCGGAGGTGTGCAGAAGTAGGACGCATTACTGTATAATAATTATCCGTGATCTGGATTCTGGTTGCATGTACGAAAATGTACATATCTATTATATAAGATATAGTCTAACCTTACTTAAAATAATTCTTATTTATTTAAGCCTACCGCTTTCGATAACATTACTTGAAAATACAGATTGACAATATTTACACAAGACAATAAGTATAATGAATTATTTTTTATTTTTTCTATTCAAATTTCGGAAGAATTCATCATTAGAGTAAAAGACTAATTTACTCAAATTGTGTGTTCTATATTATTGACAAGGTTCAACACGTGGCAAATTTAACACAGTACAAGAATCGAGATTACCAGACGGACTGTTTATCATCTGAGAGCGAGACAACTGCCATGCTCCGGCTTATTTTCATGGGGAAAACATATGCAAGCGATTCAAATCGCTTTGAACGCTTTCGTCGCAAAAATCAATAATTTGCGTAGGGATACAACGCGGCAACAATGTACATTCAAAAACTGAAAATGCTGTAAATTTAGCTAGCTCAGATACACACTTTTCTCTGTTGCATTCGCACGTAGTTCGCTGGCTGACCGTTCTATTTAGCTACCGTAGCACAGCATTTTCTACAGAGTCGGTAATTCAGATCCCGAGACAGAAAAAGGCGTTGCATGCGATGTCTAGTACAGTTTACTCCGATACCTAGCCTATAGTTGCATCAAGTGCCGTGATAATTTTCAGACTCCACGAGGCACAAATTAAAGCTAGGAACATCGCGCATTATGTTAGATCCATTTAGGATTATTAAAAAATTTGAAATCATACGAAAAGAAAAGAAAAACAATGATAAATGTCAACCGATAATACAGAGGAAATAAAAATGTTCGATGGCTCAAATTTAAATCAAGTCGTATCTAATTATTACTAACGCAAAGAAAATTTCAGGGAGCCAGGAAATGTAGTTTGAAAAATGAAAGGACGATCATTGCAAGCAACAGGGAGATCAGTTGATAAAAGCGAAACTTGAGATAGAAATTCAACGAGAATCGGTAAAACAGGGAGCAACAAGTAGGTAAAGTAGAGCTTTAACATCCGTTCGAACATATTGTACAGGTTAACATAGTCGAAGTGGTAAGAGCTGCATATATCTGTACATATACGTTTCTCTATTTTATTTAAACATCTAGTATTACATGTCCTTTGAAAATAGTGGCTCTGACTAAACTTACATATACTATTCAATACGGCCACAGCAGCAGTTCGATTATATTACTCTCATTTCTATTACGATTCCTCGATAAATAAATCATTTGAGCACTTTTGTGTACCGAAAATTCACAGCGTCGCAGCAAGGCGGAACATTATTCCTTACGAGAGATCACGTTGCACACCAATATCGATGAAACATTATGGCAAAGCTTTCGGCTTCGTGTACAATACAATTCACAAATATTTAATGTCTAATGTTTTCCGAACGAGTTCGCCAGTTTCTCCATAATATTTCATGGTATGCGGTGTGTAACAAGTCGCAAGGATCTTCTTTGTTTCAGAGCACGTTCGACGGGCAAGCGATATAGGACGAGAGTAGTGATTGTAAAATACAGGTGCGAAAGGTCCGCGGGTCCACGAACGAGCCGTTCGGTCCTGCAAGCGACAGACCGATTTCTCCCCGCGCAGTGAGAAACCGTAACCCTTTGTCCCCGCACCAGAATCCCCTATCGCTTACAGGACCACTTCGAAGGTTCGTAGGAAAGTCACTATGCTTGTACCACGGAGAGTAAGAACACGCGCGACGTCCCAGCAGCGTCGTCCCTATCAAAAGGAAAAGAGAAACGGTGGTCTCGCGGCGGCGCGGCGGGTCATTCGGCGTCACGTTGCGTTACGATAGAATAGCGGAGAGAGAGAGAGTCCGCGGGATTGGTGATCGGTGGTCGGCGTCGACGCGGCTGCGATCTAAGATGGGAGCCCGGTGAGGTGGTCGGTAGGAGGTCGACGAGGGAGACTGCGCGGCGAGTCGCCAGAGCGCGTGTGCCAACGGGGAGAGGATCGTTTAGCGTGTACCGAGTAGTTCAGATACCGAGAGAGTGGGAGGGAGTAAGAAAGGAAAGAGGGAGAGAGAGAGAGATGAAGAGAGACGAGGCTACGACGCCGCGGAATGGTGGGGAGACGCGGAGTGGTGGGAAGGATAGAATGGGCTGGTCCAGGCACGGTGGCCATGAGGCGGGTAGGACGGTGCGGTCGTTTTCCCCTGCGAGCGACCCAGGAAACGACGCGGGATAGGCGGACGCGGTTAGTCGGGCTCGCGTCCCCCGCCAACGGCGTCGCGCCGCTGTGCACGGAGCGACCCCAACGGACTAGGGAGCTGGCAGGCTGGCCGGCCAATAAGGAGCGAGCCGGCGTCCGATTGGCCGGCGCCGGCCAATAGCAGGCCGGCTCGGGTAGACTAGATCCGGCCGGAGGGGTCGGCTCGGGTAGCCCCGCAACCCCCTCTAAGCTAGGCGTTCTCTCACACGCAAAAGGGGACATCTCATCACGACTCTTGGTAGCAGGCACTTCTCCGTAGTGGGCACTCCACTCATCGTGTCGTCGTACGGGTTCTCCGCGAGAGGCTGTGGGGCCCAAGCCCGAGCGAGCGAGCGCGAGCGACCGCTGGTCGAGTGGGTCTAAGCGGCCGTGAGGACCTCTCCAGGAGTACCCGACAGTCCTCTCTCTCTCTCCATTCATTCAGCCATCCATCCATCTATCCATCCATCCAACCAACCATCCATCCATCCATCCATCCAGCCATCCATCCATCCATACATCCATCCATCCATCCATCTATCCAGCCAGCCCGGAGAGCCAGCCAGAGAGGCCAGCCAACCATCCATAGACACTCTCTCCTCTCCCACGGAGAGAGAGTGTATCCTCGACGAAGGTGGAGGCGAACCCGTAGAGTGGTACATCTACCATCGTCTCTCTATCGGCAGAGTCCAAGGACTCGAAGACCCCCCGGCTGATTTCAGTCGGCCGCCGGCCGGCTCTGGCCGGCCACTATCCTCGACCACGTGTGTGCCAACTGTTCCGTCGTGTTCGCGGTGTTGTTGTCGTCGTCGTCGTCGTCGTCGTCGTCACCGTCGTCACCGTCGTTCTCATTGCCGTCGCCGTCAAAGGGTGTCGTTGTTGTGTCTCGCGGCGGTCGTGTCGTGTCGCGCGTGCCACGCGGCTTCGTTCACGCCACGGTGACGAAAAGTGGCAGCAGAGGAGCCTGTCTCGCGGAGCCGAGGTGTGCGGTGCGTCAGCCGGTTACTCTGCGATCCCGGGCGCGTTGTCCACTGGTGGCGGCGGCCTGCGGCGGCGGCAGCGGCGGCGCCGGGCCGAGCGTACAGTCCGTGTTGCTCGCGTTGTTGTCCTTGACCGTGGTACACCGGGATTCAGTGCCGTGGCCCTAGCCAGGCGGTCCGCGTCTTTGACCCGGTTTGTCCATCGCAGCCCGACCGACTCTACCCGCGTGTGTGCACCTGAGACAGAGATGCGACGGATCGCGCGGTCACGTCGCTGGACTTGTCCAGTCGGGCCGTCAGGCACCGCGACGATCGACACCGCGGCTTGCTGACTCTGCCATGTCGGCCGGGCGATCCTGCGACAGGACAGGATCGATCGAAACGAAATCGTCCCGCGGTGAATGCTCGCGCGAGCACAGTGCGACCGAAGTGTGATATATCGTGGAGTTTCTAACCCCGGAGAGGATTATATTATTCAGTGTCTGAACGAGAGTAGTATAAAATGTACCCGACGCGCGTGACCGTGAAACAGACAATAATAATAATACAGTGCCGCGGCGGTGACCGATGATACCCGGCCGTAGCAGGGAACAATAGATGAATCGTTCCGATTCGACGACAGACTGTTCCCGTTACAAGATACAACCATTAAATCGTACGAGGGGCCTGCCTCGCGGGCTATAGACGAGCTGCTCGTCGAGCTGTCCGAAGCAACGTCGTCCGGGATCCCTTGTTCGTCGTCCGTGGTGGCAGGGCCGTCATGTCGTTATCTAGCGGTTAGCGCCGGCCTCAGGATTCCGCGAAGCGCGAGCTTCAAGTATTTCGACGGCGCTGGCCTCGCCGAGATGAGCGGTGGCAGCGGCGGCGGCGGCGGAAACAGCGCCGGGAATCAAGGGAACGGCAACACAACCAGTTACCACCAGCATCAACAACAGCAACAGCAACAACAACAGCAACAGCAGCAACAACAACAGCAACAGCAACAACAACAGACACAGCTGGAGCAGGCTAGCTTGCTGCCAGATTTGAATGGGATCGACCTGGCGATGAGCCTGTCGCCTAAACAGCACTCGTCCCACGTACAAGCGGCTGGCGGCGCTCACACGACACCGTTCAGTGTCACCGACATCCTGTCCCCCATCGACGAATCGTACCGGAAGCTGGAGCTGGCGATCGGCGTCGGCGTGGTCACGCATCCTCAAGTCTCGCCTTACGGGAACGCGTGCGGCGGCCGAGTGGGCGGCAATACCGGTAGCTCGAGCGCGAGCAGCGGCAGTCCGCCGCTTCACGGAGGATCGACGCCCGGTGGCGGCACTCCCGGACCGGTTTCCGGTGCAAACGACGCCGCCGCTGGAGGCAGCAGCGCCGCAGCGGCCGGCATGACCGCCATGGGCAATCCTTACGCCACCATGCAGCTCACCTCCCAATATCAGTACTGCGCGGCGGAATTGTCGCCGTATCATCACGCGGGGCCAGCGGTCGCCGGTGGAGCAACCGCGACCGACCCGATGCGCTCCCATCATCCGTGGTACGCGCCGGCCCCGCCGGCAACCAACGACCCCCGATTCACCAGTGAGTATTGTGATTTTAGTCCGACGCGGCGCGTCGAGTTTTCGATCGGGAGACCGATCGCGAGACCTTATCTCGCGGACGAGATCGGGCCGGGCCGCTCGCGGGACCCGTCCCTCCGTCGAACGGAGGGAAGTCGACCCGCTGAAAGCGGCGACGAACGCGCGGATCCCAAGGGTGGCCTAACTTTCGATCGCTATCGGCGACCTGGTTTTTTGACATTACGAAGCCGAAGGTCTGGCGTATGCGTTAAGTGGCCGTGAAAAATGTAACAATTTAAAGGCAAGAGTAAGCTTGAATTTTCGAATAAATATTGACGATATCGGACTGGCGGGCGATTTGGAATTAAAGTTACGCGGTCGACCGCGCGCGGGCGACGCTTTGGTCATCCCTCGCGTAGACCGTAAAAATTGGGATTAATGCTGGATTTAGGGAGCAGAAAAAACAGCTGTTTTATTATTAATTTATAAGAGTAACGATAAGACGTTTATTCCGATTTTTAGCAGCCGTTATTGCAACATATAAATTGATATTGCAATAACGCCTGCTAAAAATCGGAATAAACGTCTTATCGTTACTTTTATAAACTAATGATAAAACAGCTGTTTTTATTATTATTCGTATCGTAAAGATACATTTACGAGTTATTCGTTCAATTGATATGTTACAACATATAAATTGATATTGTAACGTATAAATTGAACGAATGACTCGTAAATGTATCTTTACGATAGGAATAATCGTGAATGAAAAAATTAATAACCCGTCATTTTGACGGGACCCGTGAATCTAATGTCAAGGGAAGTTCCAGTATCCTCCTGCACGATGTTTAACAGGATTTCCTAAAGATTTTTGGACTTTACGCGCGCGTACGAAGCTCCGCAAGAAGCGACGGGGTTGATTCGTCCGTCGATATTCGACCGCGAGGGGTGAAATTTGCTTGTTCGGTCACTAGAGAACGCGCTTTCACGCTCTTCTCTTAATCTATTGGGTTGGCAACTAAGTAATTGCCGATTTGTTCAATGAAATAAAAAATTCTTTTTTACTTGGAACGAAGAGATGTGTATAAGAGACAGATTGCCGATTTGTTCAATGAAATAAAAAATTCTTTTTTACTTGGAACGAAGAGATGTGTATAAGAGACAGATTGCCGATTTGTTCAATGAAATAAAAAATTCTTTTTTACTTGGAACGAAGAGATGTGTATAAGAGACAGATTGCCGATTTGTTCAATGAAATAAAAAATTCTTTTTTACTTGGAACGAAGAGATGTGTATAAGAGACAGATTGCCGATTTGTTCAATGAAATAAAAAATTCTTTTTTACTTGGAACGAAGAGATGTGTATAAGAGACAGATTGCCGATTTGTTCAATGAAATAAAAAATTCTTTTTTACTTGGAACGAAGAGATGTGTATAAGAGACAGATTGCCGATTTGTTCAATGAAATAAAAAATTCTTTTTTACTTGGAACGAAGAGATGTGTATAAGAGACAGATTGCCGATTTGTTCAATGAAATAAAAAATTCTTTTTTACTTGGAACGAAGAGATGTGTATAAGAGACAGATTGCCGATTTGTTCAATGAAATAAAAAATTCTTTTTTACTTGGAACGAAGAGATGTGTATAAGAGACAGATTGCCGATTTGTTCAATGAAATAAAAAATTCTTTTTTACTTGGAACGAAGAGATGTGTATAAGAGACAGATTGCCGATTTGTTCAATGAAATAAAAAATTCTTTTTTACTTGGAACGAAGAGATGTGTATAAGAGACAGATTGCCGATTTGTTCAATGAAATAAAAAATTCTTTTTTACTTGGAACGAAGAGATGTGTATAAGAGACAGATTGCCGATTTGTTCAATGAAATAAAAAATTCTTTTTTACTTGGAACGAAGAGATGTGTATAAGAGACAGATTGCCGATTTGTTCAATGAAATAAAAAATTCTTTTTTACTTGGAACGAAGAGATGTGTATAAGAGACAGATTGCCGATTTGTTCAATGAAATAAAAAATTCTTTTTTACTTGGAACGAAGAGATGTGTATAAGAGACAGATTGCCGATTTGTTCAATGAAATAAAAAATTCTTTTTTACTTGGAACGAAGAGATGTGTATAAGAGACAGATTGCCGATTTGTTCAATGAAATAAAAAATTCTTTTTTACTTGGAACGAAGAGATGTGTATAAGAGACAGATTGCCGATTTGTTCAATGAAATAAAAAATTCTTTTTTACTTGGAACGAAGAGATGTGTATAAGAGACAGATTGCCGATTTGTTCAATGAAATAAAAAATTCTTTTTTACTTGGAACGAAGAGATGTGTATAAGAGACAGATTGCCGATTTGTTCAATGAAATAAAAAATTCTTTTTTACTTGGAACGAAGAGATGTGTATAAGAGACAGATTGCCGATTTGTTCAATGAAATAAAAAATTCTTTTTTACTTGGAACGAAGAGATGTGTATAAGAGACAGATTGCCGATTTGTTCAATGAAATAAAAAATTCTTTTTTACTTGGAACGAAGAGATGTGTATAAGAGACAGATTGCCGATTTGTTCAATGAAATAAAAAATTCTTTTTTACTTGGAACGAAGAGATGTGTATAAGAGACAGATTGCCGATTTGTTCAATGAAATAAAAAATTCTTTTTTACTTGGAACGAAGAGATGTGTATAAGAGACAGTAATATAACATTTACGAATATCATAAAAATGGGAGCGAGAGACGCCTATAACTGAAATCGGCAATTACTTAGTTGTCAACCCAATAAACGCTCTCAACGCATTGAAATATCTGGAAAGAATAGAGTTAGAGTATAAAACGTGCCTTGAAACCAGACAAATGCGGCATCCGCCAGCCGTCGTCCGTCTCGACGTTCAAAAGTTAAATTGCCGTCGGTTAGCTTCTTAATCGTCGATGAGAATATTCACAACCGGTGGTCGGTGATGAAACGAGAGAAAGGCCTGCTCTGACGGTTCAGCTAGACTAGAGAAAGTAGCGCCTTGACGCGCCTAGCAAATACTCTCCGACAGATCATCCCTTTCGTCTTCGACGAGGCACGTTTGTCCCCCTTTCGGCCGCCTTCCACTCGCAGAATATCCGTTGCTTAGGTCCATTTAGGTATCGATGATGCGACGGGGGCTCGTGTTTCAAAATCCACGACACCGTCCGCGATACAAGCTGTACGAGCGCTGGCCAACTTGACGTATGAATCTTCCCGGCGCTACATGCGAACCTAATCTCGACGCGTTTCTGCACTTCCCCTGTCCGCGAATCCGACATTTTCGGCTGAAAAAAATATTAGGTCGATGCGTATGAAATGTAGGATTTTTAAGCGAACGTATAAAACCGCGTATCTTTTTGTTCGGAAGCTGTTTATTCGATCGAAATACGCTTCGTTCGCTTCGATACGTTTCTCCCTACGAGATTTTAACGCACAGATGACTGTCTCGAAGAAATTCCTATCTTTCGAATCGACAAACTCTGACATGGAATTTTTCGAGCCGTCTTCATTTTCGTGCCGTTTAGCCCGTGAAAACTGTTCTAAATGTTTAAAAAATATGAAAGTCGGTCGGCGAAAGATCCGGCGAACGAGCCGGGTGCTGCGAAATTTCATACTTTAATTCGTTCAATTTCGCAATCGTTTTGTACGACGTACGCGGCCGAGCGTCGTCGCGGAGAAGTTATCGGGCCGCGCCGATTAACGAGCGACGGGCGTATAATTTGCAATTTTTCACGCGTCTCGTCGATGCACCGGCTGCACTTTTCGGCTGCGATCGTCTCCCCGGTTCGAAGGAACGAGCAGCGAATCACTCCGGTCGCGTTCGTTTCCACCGACGCTTTCGGAGCATCGTTTTTCGCAGACGGTTCCGGGCCTTCCGCGCGGTTCATTTTCTAGGGAAAAATCGGCGGACCGAAAATTTTCAAACCGACGCCGCACTTCTCGATCGTTATCAGTGTTCTCCCCGAACGCCTGGTTTGTATCGCGCGCAGCTTTCGCAGGGTTGTTGCCAAGTTTATACTCGTATAACAAAAATTACACGAACATCGGTCGAATTCGTAATAACAAAATGGAACGCTTTCGAGAAAATCTTCATCGTTGAAACGCGACTCTGGCGATGAACGGTGCGACTATAAACGAGATTATGCCAAAAACGAAAGCATAACGAAAACAGGGAGGCGAACGTTCGCGTGTAAAGAAAATTCGACATTTCATATGCACAGACCTGATACGAAGAAAACTTTCGGAAATTCTACTGAAATTCCACCGAATTCACTGTCGCGAAACCGGAAACAGGTCGAACGCAGTCTATTTCACAACCGTCGAGGAGATTTTGGATCATCAGCGCAGCAACAACAACAAACAATTGCCTTTCGATTTGCCAGTTCTCCGTTCCTTTCGTTCGACGATAGATCGCATATCAGTTTCTCATCAATTCGCATTTTCGTATAAGAAATGTTAATTTAGATTTACAGTTAAAATGGCTTCCGAGTGCAAAGGGTTAAATCGCGCAATTAAAGATCCATCTACACTCACCAACGAGTCAAACACGTGCATGAACACGAGCAGGAACGCATCGATAACATTTAATCATTATCTCTGAACACGCGAATCCACGCCGTCGCAACGACATTTAACCCTTTCCACTCGAACGGCGACGCCAAGGCGCCATTAAAAATTGTTTCGTCACGTTTCAGAATAATTTTATCAATCAAATTCGTTGATACTTGAAAAGCTGTTGAAATGATAACTGTTGCATCCGTCACAAAATTCAATTTCATACGTATAAAATAACGTAAAAAAGTTAGGTTATATAAAACGGAAATGCAGTGGATCAGAAGAGCTACATTAAATTTTGCGTTAATTTGGCTCCGAGTGCGAAGGGTTAACACTGCCGACACGCTCGGCTCGCGTCGGCGAGCACGAATGTAACCTTAATTCGCTCGGCCGCCGTCGAATTCTTCCTCGAGAAGCCGTCGGCGGCCGGGCGGCGCGGATT